TGGAATAGTTGACTCTGATTGGTCAGTGATTAGCCTGGGAAAACCCAGACAACTTCCGTCAAATTTCGATTTGCTCTGAAAGTTAGTCTGGCAAAGAGCTCATTCAAGCCCATTTCCAATCCATCAAAATCGAGGCACCAATCAGAAACGTTTACACGATGACGACGGCGCTGGGATTTTGTAGCCTACGATGGATCGAGTCGAGTTCGAGTCAGCTATCGCGTCTGTTTTAAGCGATTTGAACCTTTTTGTTAAAAACGAGCAAAGAAGAACACCGCTCTGCATACGTCATCTCCTTCATCGCTCTGATTGGTTTTAGGTCTATGCGTTGGTGACGCCACTTGGAAATGATTTGTCTATGATGCTTTGCCAGACCATAACTCGGTTACAACTGAGAATGGTCTGGTTTTAACCAGGCTAGTCAGTGGTGGCATTCTGTGAGCAAACGTTGTGTATAATTCAACCCAGTCTCACACACAACAAGATGCCACTATTTTATGAGGTGGTGATTTCATATGAATTTATATGACGTGAATTATTCAAAATGTACCATTTTTTTTAGGAAAAAGGTAAGCATGAAGCTCCACCCCGTCACTGTGGCGTACGCAGATCGTACGAAAACATGCAGATCAGATCATGAATTCATACGAAGTAGCCACCAAAGCGAGACTGAGTTGGTATGATTTCAATTTCAATTGATTTTCTCCAGCAGTGCCAGTTGCATCTGATTAACTGCTCATGTTATATAGTCTTTTAGATGTAATAATATAATTATATATATATATATATATTATATATATATATATATTAATAATGTCTGTTGCTTTAAGAAATAAATCAAATCTACACACTTGTTTGTTTATTTTGAAAAAGAACCGACCAATATTGTTTATTTATATTTATTTATATACCAATATAATATTAAAGCTGGCATGAAATGAAAATTCAGGCATGTTATACATCCTATTTGGGTGAAAAACAGTAAAAACGTCAAAGTGTTTAATAGAAATGCCATAACTGGATTTTCCAGACACTGCTAGCGTTTAATTGTGACTAGAGCCCGACCGATAAAGGATTTTGAAGGCCGATACCGATACAAATATTTGTTGGTTTTAAAATCCGATATTCCGATATATCGGCCGATATATTTATTTATTTATTTTATTTCAGAAACGCGCAACAAAACATTAACAGATTTCCTTAACATTAGTTATTTGTAGTTATTTATGAGTTTTAACTAAAATAATATGATAATGCATTTTATAAAGAAATTTGTTTCTATTATTGTCACAACAGAACAGACTGATGATAGTGGCGTTAGCTAGCTTCATGGATAGCTAGTCTATGATGAGCCATAATTTAGCAATAGATAACATCATACTGCAAATTGTAAAACATACATTTTAATATAACAGGCCAAGGAGAGATGATCCGTCTCATTGCTATAACTGTCACGCGCTATTAAAGAAATACTTCAGTCACGTTGTCAAAAGTTAAAAGGACAGTCAGTCAACTACACTGTATCAACGTAACGTAACTATTACTAGCTAATCCCGCTTCACTCTCGGCTTATTTAAAGGGTAAGTTCACCCAAAAATGAAAATTAAGTCATTAATTACTCACCCCCATGCTGTACCAACCCCGTAAGACCTTCGTTCATCTTCGGAACACAAATGAAGATATTTTTGATTAAATTTGAGAGCTGTATAACTACCACATTGGCTCCTAAGGGACTGGCTCTTGACGGCCCAGAAAGTCAGTGAAGAAAATGTTTAAATATCCCAAGTGACTACCGTGGCTCAACTATATGTTTATCAAGCGATGAGAATACTTTTTGTGCGAAAAAACAAACAAAAATAACGAGTTTATTCGACTATTTCTTTTCTTCCTTGTAGGCCAGAACGAGACTTCCTTAGATTTCCACGACGCATGCGCGAGATTTGCGATCTGCGTACACCAGCTTACACTACTTCAGATCGCAATTCTCGCGCATGCGTCGTGGAAATCTAAGGAAGTCTCGTTCTGGCCTACAAGGAAGAAAAGAAATAGTCGAATAAACTCGTTATTTTTGTTTGTTTTTTCGCACAAAAAGTATTCGCGTCGCTTGATAAACATATAGTTGAGCCACGGTAGTCACTTGGGATATTTAAACATTTTCTTCATTGACTTTCTGGGCCGTCAAGAGGCAGTCCCTTAGGAGCCAATGTGGTAGTTATACAGCTCTCAAATTTAATCAAAAATATCTTCATTTGTGTTCCGAAGACGAACGAAGGTCTTACGGGGTTGGTACAGCATGGGGGTGAGTAATTAATGACTTAATTTTCATTTTTGGGTGAACTAACCCTTTAACAGCAGCAAAACTGGACATGATAGTCACACATTTTGTCCTGCTTATTTGAGTTGGATGATCTTTTAATTGTTATTCAAGCAATGTATGTATCGACCAACTCAACGAGTGTTGCCGACAGGGACGGTGTAGAGCGCCCTCTGGTGGACAAACTATACAACTCCAACGCTCATGACATCGTTCAAGCGTGTTTCGTCCGTTTTTATTTTATTTTTGAAATATTCATTTATCGGCCGTTATAACTGCCGATACCGATAGTTTGGAAAATGCCTAATATCGGCCGATAATATCGGTCTGGCTCTAATTGTGACATTACTTGCGCTGAATCTGCTGAAGTCTGCGGATCATCATTGAAGGCGTTATCGACACACACACACACACACGTACGACTCTGCTTTCAAACCATGTTCGTTGTGAAAATTTGATTAGCCTCGACTTGTTTTGTTAGTATGGACAGGTGAACAAGTCTACAGTCATTTTCCTCTTGTTTAGAGTCCGCTATCTGAATATCAACACGTGTGGTTTAATGATTCAAATGTGCGTCGTCCAGCGCTTAGAGAAACCTTCTGCATTGATGAGTGTGTGTGTGTGTGCGTGTGTGTGTGGCAACAGCTCAATCTTCGACTGAGTGTGTGATCATATGATCTCTGACCCCACACACCTCAGCTCGCCCTGCCTGACTCTGAGGTCAGAGGTCATTGAAGGCTTGGAAGAGAGCAGTTTGGAGCAGAGAGGTGTGCTGATTTATGACTGTTGTTATTCTTAGGGTCAAAGTGCACTGGACAAGCGTATAGCATATTAAAACCCTCAGTGTCTATTCACCGCTGCATGTGTGTGTTAATGACATTGTTACAGTAATTACAAACCAGCTCGGAGAGTGCTGGACTGATGCATTATGGGGTGGCGTTATATGAACCCTCTCTCGCACTGATGTATTGGCTAATTTAGAGAGGCTTAAGACGTCTGCATCTGTGTGTGTGTGTATGAAGGAGTCTTTATCTGGCCCACAGGTGCCTCATTTGCTTTCACAACACTTCCCGTCTTCCTCGCTCCACTCGTACCAGATCAGCCTCTCCGTTCACTTCATCAGAAACAGAAATATACAATCAAATGCTGTGGTTTGTGTGTGAGTTTTCTGGTTGTTTGTCAGTGTGGTCATGTGGTCATTCAAGCAGAGATTAAAACTAAACAAGGCATCTCTATGAAGATCCTGTGCTGAATGTCTTTCTCTGGTAAAGTTGCTATAAAACAGCAGCGTCAGGTCTTCAGTTCTGTGGATTGTTGAAGAAATGTAGGGTTTGGTGTGCTTCAGTCCATCAGTTGTTGATTGGATAGGGGAGGCGGACCTGAATGTGAGCTTACAGCCAATTGTAAGAAAGGGGTGGGGCTTAATCCGATTAAATGATTGGAGAATTGTGCATACGTCGACGGTCTGAAAATGAAACATGCATGGATGAGTCATTCACAATTGAATCAATAACATGCATTTGGAGAATAGAATGCTATTATTAATTATTATCATTATTTTCAGGTTTCTGTGTAGACGTTTAGCCTCGTTATCTACATGTGCGGATCAGTGGGCGGGGCTAAACAGGCGTCGCTGTAGAAGCAGGTGTTGATCTCTCTCTGCGGAGGTGCTGTTTACCCACACTGTTACGCAATAAAGTGACACATTATTACACAACCGGTTGTTTTGCATACCGGCTGTTTTATAAAGTTTTGAGTTCTGAAACCTACAGGATGTTTTTATAGTACAATGACCTCTAAAATGTCAACAGATCAGGGACATTTGTATTTCTCAGTTCATGACCCCTTTAACCCTCAGGTGCTCTTCGGTCATTTCTGACCGAAAAAATTTCTGTTTTGAATTTTTAAAAATCACAGCTTCATCGGAGTGTTACGAAACTTGGTGACTTTTATGGCATTATGTATGTGAACACACACAAAAATTGAGGTCATGATCTGAGCATGCTAAGTGGTCGTAAAAAAAAATAGTCACACTTGTGCTCTACGGTCAAAAATGACCCCCCATAGGAAATGAATGGGAAATTGACAAAAACAAAAAAATGTCAAAAGTTTTTTTTTTATTTTATTTATTTTTTTGCATTTTTTTAATCATTTTTGAGATTGTTTCAACTATATATTCAAATCCACCAAAAAAGAAATGTGTTTGTAAACATCTGGGGAATTCACATGCTTCTCCTTAGATAGCTGGACATGTCAACTAGTGGTTACCCCATGATTCTACGATTTTTCTATATACTGTAACCAGATGGTGCTAATTTTCTTCAAAAAAATATTTTTTTCTGAAGGCCTAGACTCTATATTAAACTAAATTACTGCATTAATAATTTTTTGAAAAAAATAATATATATATATATATATATAGAAAAATATATATATATTTTTCCATGGCAAAAATAGACCATAAATATTGCATAAATATTAATACATTCAATCAAATTGTCTCAAAATACTGAATTACAAAGAATAAATATTATAGAACAAAAATAAATTGCATTGGTTTTACTGGGATGGAGGAAATTTAATTTTTAGGTGACCGGGAGGATAACAAGTGTGACTCCGAAACGAAGAGCACCTGAGGGTTAAGAATGAACAAATGTTTTGACCCATCTCTCATCCTCTCTCTCAGAACCCATGCGGACGCCCAAGAGTCTGAAGATCGCGGAGACGCAGGCGCGCTACATCGCCGTGGACTGGGAGTCGCTGGGCTACAACATCACCCGCTGCCACACCTTTAACGTCACCATCTGCTACCACTACCACAAAACCCCCAACCAGAGCAAAGCCGACTGCCTGGAGATGGACCCCAAAGCCCCCCGACACGTGGTGGGAAACCTGCCTCCCAACACCAACGTCAGCCTGAAAATGATCCTCACCAACCCGGAGGGACGCAAGGAGAGCGACGAGACCGTCATCCAGACGGAGGAGGACGGTACGATCACTACAAACAGCAGCGGGTCTCATCCTTACATATAACAAGCCCAAGGGTGGGGTTAGACATTAAGACATATTAAAGATGTCCTCAAAGAGAAAATGCATACATAACAAACACATGCAGACTTACACAAGATTATACAATAAGAGATACCAGGGATCACAACAGAGACAAGAGCACAACACACCAATGCATGATGTCTCATACTTTAAGAGGATTATTTATTTAAAGCCCGTATGGCTGTAGGGACAAAGCGCTTACTGGTTTAACTGGCCTATCTACGCATATTCGAAATGAAAACACAATAAAAATATGATTTTTTGAATTACTATAATCATATTGCTTTTATTCAAAAATATCTAAATATTTAATATTGAGCTATTTTATTCATAATACATTCAATGCCTTTTAATTCCTCAGGATATTGGGGACATCTGTTCTCTTAGGGTGTGTGTGTCAGTTCACAGCTTTGATTAGATTAAAACCAACTGCAATCCAAACAAATTCGACTGAAATATGAACACAACACGGACCAAAGACGTGTAAACCAACCAAAAACAGGACGTGATCCCTTAAAAGGGATTCCTGCTTACACATTTTATAAGCTTCGTAAGCAAAAATCATATGTTTGCACAAACAGTGAGCACATTTAGCCCAGAACACAGCATGTTCGGTAAGCTAATGCTAATTGAACCTGGACTAAATGTATTTTTTTTTTTGGGGGGGGGGGGGTATATTAATATACTTGCATCTTCTTCATCATAATTATATGATCGGCAAGTTGAGAGACCACGTATTGAATCAGAGGAAGTGATGATCCGCTTGTTCAGATCTTTGGAGCATTCATAGAAACTTGAGGATTTCTGCATCCGTATTTGACCTCATATCACAGAAGCCCGTTTAGGGTTCATCAGGGTGACAGTGGCGTGCACGGAGGGAGTCAGCCAGCCTTATCATTTTTTTTTTCATCATTCTTTCTTTCAGAAAATATGTTGATTCAATTATTAGAATGCATAACACATCAAATCAAAATAGGAAAATGATAATGATAATATTTCTAAATATTACTTTATCAAACAAAAATGAGAATCACGGTAATGGAAAAATTATTTTTAGTTTTGTTGATGTTGTAAAGTTGTAAAATGTATATATTAAATATGAAAGATAGTGTTAGCTATCATGAATCCGTAAGACTAGTTACATGAGTTACACAGCATGTTCGGTAAGCTAATGCTAATTGAACCAGGACTAAATGTATAATTAGAGTAGGGCAGGGTAGGGTAGGGTATGGCAGGGCAGGGCAGGGCAGGGCAGAGTAGGGCAGGGTAGGGTAGGTGTTTTAATAAGCTTTAAGACAAGATATGTGAGCTGAATGAGTGAGTGGAGGCGGGGCTCATTTGCATATTCACAGAACCTAGTGTATACTAAATGAGGCAAGGTTACATTCAATCTATTGTAAGGCATGAAGAATTATTTGAGTTTAAATATGACATTGTGACGAGAGACGAGCACCACGGCATCAAACCCAGTGTGTGACAGTCTTCCTCCGTTTACAGGTGTTTGCGAGAAGAGCTTTAGCTTCTGAAGGATTGTCAGTTGTGAGGTTTAGTGGCAGTTCAGTGTCAATCAGACAGTTTTGCAATTGAAACAAATCTCAGATTGTTTTGGTGATTTGTACTCTCAACCGTGAACGGCACGTCGAGAAGAACCAGGCCTGTGTGTGTGTGTGTGTGTGTCAGTGTTGTTAGGACACACTTCTGCTCAGGAGACCGCCAATGATGTGACCCGCTCATGTATCTATCCTCATGAAATTTAAAAATAATAGTGTCAGAATCCAAATCCCACCATGAAGCGGTCCACCAGTCGGCGGCCAGACAGACCTCACCCAGAATCACACTGACTGACAATACATCCAAATGATCAAGAGTAACATTGGCCCATTTAAAATGTTTACATGATTACGCTGACAGTTAAAGCCTCTTCATGCAACATCTCTCTCATGGAGAAACAGATCAAAACATGTCAGGAATGTATAAATATAACTTCAGTTTTCTGGAAGCTGAGTGAGGCAAATAATTCAAATGAGGATAAAGGGCACCAAGCGCACCTGCCAGTCATAAGTGGGTTAGATGCTGTGATTTCTTGACACATCTGGGACGTGCACATCGCTTGCAGAACTTTTCTCCATCAGTCGCCTTGCTCGCAGTGTTGGGCAAACCCAGGTTTAGGAACACCGTTTGTATTCTTCTGCGTATATGCAAATGATTTCTTGTTTTGATATAATGATACACTCCTACCAGTGTACCATCATTTCTGCCCCTTTCTTTTGAGTTGTTCTGCTGATGGCCCATTTTATGTGCAGAGTGATTTAGCGAGTGTGTCTCCCAGCCAGGTACAGAATTAGCCTTGTGACAACTCTTTTTTTTTTTCTTTAAATAAATCAATAAACATTTAAATGAAGGCACAATTTATATTTCTCATCCAAAAGACATTTCAGTCATGGAATGGATCTTAAAATCAGTCCAGTTTGTTAGGCACAGTGCCTCTAGTGTGTGGGCGGAGTCTCTCTGCAAGAGCACTGCACTCTCAACCAAATCAATCAGAAATCACAGCCAATCTGTAGAGTGTGTGGGCGGAGTCTCTCTGCAAGAGCACTGCACTCTCAACCAAATCAATCAGAAATCACAGCCAATCAGAAGAGCGTGTGGGCGGAGTCTCTCTGCAAGAGCACTGCACTCTCAACCAAATCAATCAAAAATCACAGCCAATCAGAAGAGCGTGTGGGCGGAGTCTCTCTGCAAGAGCACTGCACTCTCAACCAAATCAATCAGAAATCACAGCCAATCAGAAGAGCGTGTGGGCGGAGTCTCTCTGCAAGAGCACTGCACTCTCAACCAAATCAATCAGAAATCACAGCCAATCAGAAGAGCGTGTGGGCGGAGTCTCTCTGCAAGAGCACTGCACTCACAACCAAATCAATCAGAAATCCAAGCCAATCATTCACACTAAATGCAATGATTGGACAAACATTTTTTGGTCTTTAGACTTCCACAGAAGATGTATGTATAATTGTTTAATGTTTAAACCACTTCTATTATTGATTCGTATCAGGTTGTGGAGAGAGTTTCAACCTCTATAACATCAGTATAATCAGTACCTGAGATTATCATTGTCATACTTTTTATGTTGTTGTTGTTACACCAGTCAAAAGAGTATAGCCACACTCAGATATTAGTATCAACACTGCTCATCATAAACCAAACATCTGATGGAAAACTCTCCACATTCTGTAAGACACACAACCAGCCAACGTAGCTTTCTCACACTTCAGTTTTCTCTCTGTCTGTGCTGTAGTTCCCGGTCCAGTCCCCAAGGAGTTTGTGCGAGCGACTCCGTCTGAGGACAAGATCTCACTGCAGTGGAAAGAGCCTCTGGAGCCCAACGGCATCATTACCCAGTATGAGGTAATACGGGCCTTACATGGCAGATTTGCTCTCTTGCACCACATTTACACACAAGTTCATTTCTTAGTATTTTATCATGAAGAACTAAAAATAAATCCCAATATATGCTGAATGTGTCGTGTGTCGGGCGTCTCCAGATCAGCTACAGCAGCGTTCATTCGTTCGACCCGTCGGTGCCGCTGCTGAGGCCGCCGGTGCTCGTGCCGTTACCCTGGAACACCTCGCGACACAACTTCACACAGCTGCACCCGGGAACCACATACCAGTTCCTGATCCGGGCCAGCACCAGCAAGGGATACGGACCCCCGACCACTCTCAACGTCACCACCAACATATCAGGTATGCGTACGAGTGGATGATGTGTACGTCAAATTCTGATTGGACCGTTTTTTCAGGCTGTGAAGTTAGATTCTCACATAATAGTCACCAGGAGAATGAATTATTTTATGAATGAGAGTATCTGTTGGTATGGAGAGAGATACTTTTATTCTTTCTGAATTTAGGTGATTTTACTTGCAAATACACTAATGTTCAAACGTCTGGCGTCAGTGAGATATTATTTGATCAAACATGCAGTTAAAAAATAAAATATCATTACAATTTAAAACAGCTGTTTTCTATGTCAGGGGTTTTCAAACTTTTTGTTTGTGTGGACCACTATTTGTAATCAAGAATTTTAATAATACACGTATTATGATATTACATATTATATTAAGGTTCATTTGAACAACAGGCTTATTTCCATAGCAACGGAGTATCAAATCTATACAGTAATAAGTACACGATTTTAGGGGATTGTTAACGTTAATCTTCAGTGTTCTACAAGTCCTCAAAGTAGGCTTGAGTTTGTCCACTTAACAGCACATCCGCAAAACATTTCACTACGTAAACTAACGTTAACTGTAAATAATTAATTAAAATAATAACAGGCCTTATTAATTCCATTTATAAACATTTCATTTTATAAAAAGGCCTGAACTGCTTATAAAAGCTATGCATGTGATTTGATAATGAGAACATATTTGCTTCTGCCCTATATCATTACACATTTAAAGAAAACACAGTAGGCCTAACGTTATTCCAGGTTGAAAATAAAATTGTCAATAAAAGCCATTGGAGTCTATGTGCCAGCCCGATATGAACGTAATATCCTCCTTTGTCACCCTCCACATCTTTCCCTTCCTCTTTGTATCGTCTGTCTAATATGGACCTATATTAAATAAATGCTCACCAAACCTGTTGCTATCCACCGATCCGGTGTCACGGAGCTTGAACGTCAAAAGCCTATTTTAGTAATCACACAATAGCTTGACAATTTAATTTACATTTTATATAACTATAGGCATACATATTCTTTTTACTTTTTTTTAATGGGAATTTCTTGGTAAAATATTTTAGATTTTCACGGACCACCTGCAGTACCCTCACGGACCACAGTTTGGGAATCGCTGTTCTATGTGATATATAGTAAAGTGTAATGTAAAAAGTGTAAAGTTTACTGTCACTTTTGATGCATTTAATCTTCATTTCTTAACATTCATTTCTTTCTAAAGAAACTTTGGAACATAGTGTCAGTGTTTTGTTTTTTGTGCAGTGTAATCAATATTTGAATAACTTTTGACGCTTTAACCCTTGTGCTGCATTAGATTTTTAACACCGTTGAGTGCATTAAGGACCAAAAATGGCCACATATTAAACATTGCCTAAAATATGATATATTATTATTATTTTCCACTTTTACCAAGTTAAATCTTTTAACCAGCATCAGTCCTCATCATAACTACCAAAAATGTATTCAATTTCAGGATTTTAACCCTTTAATTACCAGTTTTGTTTGCGAAACCATCGATTTGTATAAGAGGAAAAAACACAAAAATTCAATTATTTTCAATAAACTAAATGCAAAGAGAAAACTTTAGATTTGGATTATCACAGTCCCACTTTGCAAAAAATCCCACTTAGCGCGTTAGAGACCAAAAATGGCCACCTATTAAACATTGCCTATTGCCTAAAATAAGGTGCATTTCCACCCATAGGGAATAAATATGTAGTGACGTCATCTGGTGGAATACACTATATAATGCAAATATAATGCTTTTGCTTCAAAATGAAAGGATGTTTGTGCAAAAATCATGTTTCATGTATTACTGACAGCCTCAGATTTAAACAATGTTTTAATGGGTTTCAATGGGCCATTTTTGGTCTTTATGGTGCTGAGTGTTACTATTTGATCTACACAGTGTGTGTTATGCATATTTTGCAAAATGGGATCACATTTTTTACATGTATCCAAAAAGTCACAATTTTGCCAAATTTCATACCATTTGCATTAAAACAGCCAAAATGGTCAAAGAAATTAAACTGCAAAAGACCAAAAATGTCCCTAATGCAGCATAAGGGTTAACCAAAGTCAGCTCATTTGTGGTGTACTAATTGAAATAAAACTAAATAATGTGTTCCGTAAGGATGAATGGGGTCTTTTTTGTTTGTTTGTTTGTTTTGATCTGCATCTGCTTGTGTACGGATCTTGAATCGCAGGCTGTAATCAGCTGAATTGAATGGAAAAGCTTCTTCCTGTGTTGCGCTAATGAGCGACGAGGAGCGTAACCTCATCACGTCCCCTCGGGCTCTCTGCCACTTCACGCTCGCACATGTCATACGGGCATGATCAGGGCAAATATGATTTCCTAGCATTTCAGAAATACATCACTTTAGGTTTGTGTAGGTGGAGCTAACAAAACATGCAGGGATGAGGGAAGAAAACATGCTTTCAAAAAGGAAGACAAAGACAAATAGATGTGTTCCTGCATAGTGGAATTGTCGGATGTGTGTGTGTGTTGTCTGATGTGTTTTCTGATTTTTTAAGCAAATATACATTATAGCAACAGTTTTGGAATTGTCGTCTAAAACTATCAAAAACATCTCTGATTACGTCTGAAACCCTTGTTCGCTGAGAAGGGAATGCAAAGATGCGTTACGCGCATACAAAAATCCTGCGGCTCGAATGTGGCGTAGAGCGCGGTAGACGCGAATACGCTCTCATTCGTGCCTCAATTTCGCGCGAATTGAGCGTCTGGCGCATTAAGAGCATTACGAGCGAATGATTTAGCTAGTATTATGTGTGCATTCATGCGTTTGAGGCGAATTCACGCCTGCCGCCCTTGGCGTCAATTCACGCCGTGTTAACCAATCAGGAGCCTAGCTGCTTGCTCACGTGGTGAAGTGTCTGGATGCTTCAATAAATGATTTTGTAATATGACTAAATGCCTGGTGGGGTTCTAATGCACAACAAAGCAAATATTGTATCACTTAACTTGATTTTAATATACAAGACATGTTCATTTTGTATTGAATGTTATTTATTCCATATCTACATTATATTAAATATTATTATGATAACCAATGTATTGTGCATAAGTTCGTGTCTGGACGTGAGAGAGAAAAAAATCAATGTTAAATGAAAATTAAGTCATTAATTACTCACCCCCATGCTGTATGTGTATATAAATATATAAAATAAATAAATAACATGCGTATGAAAACGTATGAACTGAAATTAAAAGTAAAGCTAAACATGTGAAAAGGACAAAAGCACATAACAAAATTTCTAAAACTAAAAATATAAAAATAAAAGATAAACACAAAACATTCATAAATACTGCAATAGTATATAAATAGTACTAAAATAACGGCTCTATTAGTTAACCTTTTACTGACAACGAAAAATATTCGTGAAGCATAATTTCAACATTTGCTGATACATTATTACAATATAAAGTTGTATCTGTAATATTATTTCATGGACCTGAGCTAAAAATATATTTAGTTGTAATGAATGGAAATGTTTTGTTTTTTTTCTTATGAGGTTAAAGTATTACTGTATTTCAGTTTGTTCATTTACTGTACTGTATTAAGTGTGTATTTGAGATGCTCAGTGACTTGTTTTCCAGCAGGCTGAACTGAAGATTAAGCTTCACCAAAAGGGAAATGTTGACACACTCCCTCTCTCTGTGTCTGTAGCGCCGACTCTAGAGGAGTATGATGGGTCCGAGGCGTCCCTGAACGAGACGGCCACCACCATCACCGTCCTGCTGAAACCTGCCCAGGCTAAAGGAGCTCCTATCAGGTGTGTGTGTGTGTGTTCATCAGGCTGAAATGAGCCTCGGCATATTCACTCGCGGTGTTTCTTCGCTCTATCTCTCCTTCAGCTGTTTCGTATTCTTCTCAACACTTGCACAAAGACTCTTCCTCTTCCTCTCTCTGCGCTCTATGTTTCAGTAATTCAGTTTTTCAATGTGACAGACTCATTCCTACTGACAGCCACAGATGGAAGAGGAGGAGAGACTTATTTATTGATTAAATTATTCAATTAAGTACGGAAAATGCAGAAAAAGACCAATGGGAAAGTGAAGGGGAATACAGATACGAAGCACAAGAAGCCATTCGAGCACAGTTTTCCCAGTCTTTCATATGAACGCACACATTTAACCCTGACATAACCCTGACAACCAAGTAAGATGAAATTCTGATGCTTGAAATGTAAATCGGTTTCATCCATTTAGCAGATACTTGCATAAAATGCCACTAATGGGCTAATAATGTCTTAGTAAGATGATATTTAAATGCTTAGTTTAATGATCAAAGCTCTGTAGGTTTAAAACATACGATGATTGACAGATCTTTGTAATAAATAATGTCTGGATGATCAAGTAAACCTCAGTCGCTTCATATTACTAACAAAATCAAAGCTATTCTTGCGTTTCCTTGATAAATCAGGGCAGATTTGACACAGAAAGACACGAGAAGCTTGAGCTGAAGGAGCTACACTGAAACACTTTTACTGGATAAACGAGTCAGTCGGAGACAGAGGAAGTGGAGGAAATGCAAAGTCTTGATCATGTTCATCATTTAGAGGCCCTAATCATGTGCATATGCAATCTGGTAAAGTAGGTTTTATAGGGTTAAACATACAGCTTTGGTGAATGGGACGTCTGTGTAGAAACCAGTCAGCAGTGAGTTAACCTGTTAACTGTCACCCCCCCCCCTTTTTTGAATAGACATGAAAATGCACATTTCGAACTTAAATGGTTGTAATTCAAGAATGCTTTGGAATATAGACATATGATTTTGATCATTTGGCAGATTTTTGTAGAAGTGAAATAAATTAAGAAAGTGAAACAGAAAAAAAGTTATAGAGGTTTGAGTTTATGGAAATGTACAATGCAAAAATATTAATTATTCATATTTTACATAAAATATATATTTTCAAAACCTGGGCTACTCTAAAATGGCAGAAAAATCAAAGCCAAAAATCTGAACAAGTTGTGTTTCAAATTTTAGGTTGATATCTCAAAAAATGAGCTTTCAGTAAGATTTTGTTTGAGCGCAGTACCAAACTTTTTCACTAGGGCACAATCAGACTCTATTACTGCCCATATAAGGGCGCCTGCATTTCCATTCGTGTTTTGAGTGATATGAACCATTATTTTCACAATTTTCATACAATTTCTGAAGTAGAGATCCTATTCAGAAGTAGCATGGGAAGTTTGGCAGATTTTGAAATGAACTGAACCTCTAAGAAACACATACAAAGAACACGCATGTAAGTCATAGCTAGCTGCCACGTCACAAATGGTGAATTTATTATTTTTTTCTTAATATTTCAAACTTTTCAGACCTTTTTTTTCCAAAATATTTGAATGGATTCTATCTTTTGAACTTTTGGCATGAAAACAAACTGAGGTATCTACCATTTTTTCATGATTTTTCATGTTCACTGCTATTTTAAAATAAAGGTCTGAACATGCCTTATGAGTATGAAAATGTTCTTGTTTTAGATTGATAAATTATGGCTCCTCTGTAATATATTTTGAAAATCAGTCACCAAATATGGAAACTAGAGATTGTAAGCTTTCAAATGATATATAGTTTGTCAATATTATTTAAGGTATTTACTAAGATATTATTGTTTTAAAAATATAGTGGCAAACGTCCCACCTGTGGGACGGTGACAGTGAATTAAACAAGAGTATCCCAAAACATCATATATTTGATTCAGCGGAGGGATGTAGAGTTCTCAGTGTAGATGTGAATAACGGTCGGTCATCCACAGCTCGTATCAGATCGTGGTGAAGGAGATCAGCCCTCAGCGGGCGCGGCGGGAGGCTGGCGGCGGCGAGTGTTACCGCGAGCCCGTGTCCTATCAGAGCGCCGCCAGCACGGGCCTGCCGTACTACTTCGCCGCGGAGCTGCCGCCCAGGAATCTGCCGGAGCCGCTGCCGTTCACCGTGGGGGACAACAAGACGTACCACGGCTACTGGAACGCCCCCCTCGCTCCCCGCAAGAACTACAACATCTACTTCCAGGCGGTCAGCAGCGTGGAGAAGGTCAGCAGGCGAACTCATCACACGACTCAATCACTACTGTTCTTTGCTTGAGCTTCAGGCACTTTTATTGGTGCATTATAACTATCTTTTGACAGGACAAATACTAAATATTGGGAAGTCCAATATCACAGCAGCTCAGAAGTTGTGTCCCAACTGACTACCCAGACAGCAAACTGACATTGAATCAACGTGGAAACGACGTCTCTCGTGACATTGAAACAACGTTGATTTTGCTCATCGAATTAACGTTGAACCAACGTCAGACGCGGCATTCTTCAAAGCTAAATGAAAATCGAAAATTGGTTTCATAACGTTGAAACAACGCGTTGATTTCAAGTTGATTTTCCGTTAGTTTTGAAAGAATGACGCGTCTGACGTTGGTTCAACGTTAATTCGATGAGCAAAACAATGTCAGATCAACGTTGTTTCGATGTCATATTTCCACGTTTATTCAATGTCAGTTTGCTAGCTGGGTAGAGCCAGACCGATATTATCGGCCGATATTAGGCATTTTCCAAACTATCGGTATCGGCAGTTATAATGGACGATAAATGAATATTTCAAAAATATAAATAAAAACGGACGAAACACGCTTCAATCATCTCTCCTTGCTAAATTATGGCTAACCATAGACTAGCTAACCACAAAGCTAGCTAATGCCACTATCATCAGTGGAAGACCGCTAACGTTAACATTAATGAGCTTGGAAACCACAATGAACTTTTTCTGCCTAAATAAAGTAATGATTACTGTATTTATAACTAGCATATCTCTAGTTACAGTCCCTGCATTGTAAAATGTAAGTTATACTTGCGAGGAGTGAACATTTAGACAGAGAGAAAAAGTATCAAACGTATCTCGTGCAGAAAAGTTAGCTTTTCTTTTACACGTGTGTGAAATCCAACAATATTTAATAAAACAAAAAAAAATATCGGCCGATTTATCGGAATATCGGATTTTAAAACCCAAAAATATTTGCATCGGTATCGGCCTTCAAAATCCTTTATCGGTCGGGCTCTACTAATTATTAATTTATTTATCAGAACTTTAATATATTTTGATGTTCCTCTGTTCTGTTGTGACAATAAAAGAAACAAGTTTCTTTTTAAAATGCATTATCATATTATTTTAGTTAAAACTCATAAATAACTACAAATAAATAATGTTAGGGAAATCTGTTAATGTTTTGTTGCGCGTTTCTGAAAAAAAAATATATATATCGGCCGATATATCGGTATATCGGATTTTAAAACCCAAAAATATTTGTATCGGTATCGGCCTTCAGAATCCTTTATCGGTCGGGCTCTACAAATGACGCACTAAACACTTTGTGCTTATGAGCGTAGACAGGATTGGAAACCTTATTTTTTCATTCTCCAGCCAATTTGGCTACTAAAGTACCCGGCCATTCAGAACGTCTACTAGCCAAAAACAGAACCAGATTAACTACTGAACGCCACAGCACATATTTATTGTAAAATTTGGATTTCGTACATTCATTTCTTGTTATTAATGTCATTCAGCATCTCCTCCCTACCTCTTTCGTCATCATCCTTTTCACCAGAAATGTGTTTTAAGTGGACAGAACACAGAATAAAGAACGTAAAAAAGAAAACATTTTTTAATATTCACTATTGCTTCAATGCAAATGAACAAGCGTGTCGTTATTAGTCGTGTAGTGACGAGTGTGTTCAAGTAAGCAGATTCTGTGCAATATGCTGTATTTAATATACTACAAAAATTACAATATAGTCCAGAACTTAAAAGGTCAAACTAATATATTATACACTCTAAAAAAAAAAATGCTGGGTTGTTTTAACCCAATTTTGGGTCAAATATCGACAATTTTATGAATTGCATTGTTTTATCCAACAATTGGGTTTGTCCATATTTAAAACAACCCAGCATTTTTTCACTGCTCTAGACTCGTTACATGCAAAGTGAGATGTTTCCCGCCTTTATTTGTTATAATTGTGATGATTATGGCGTACAGCTTATGAAACCCCAAATGCAAAATAGAATATTTTGATAAGGTTTTCACGAGCTGTAAGCCATAATCATCAAAATTATGACAAATAAAGGCGGGAAACATCTCACTTTGCATGTAACGAGTCTATATAATATATTAGTTTCACATTTTAAGTTGAAATTTTGCACGATATTCAAATTTTTCGATTTTCACCTGTATCATGATCTCACGAGTCGATTATTTACGCACAAAATCTGCACAGCAACGTGAGTTTGACAGCGTTACCCGACACAACTGATTTTTACATGCATTTGGCGTGTCGGCGCGTAGTGAATGCATTTTGCACGGTTATTTTGTCATTCATCATCATTGGTTTGATCGCCCCTCCCCCTCCACTGTGTAATTAAAGCCACGTCTGTTGAGTTCAACATCCCACACTTCGCTTTTCCGCTTAATTTGATGCGTCATCCGGGTATTCGGAGAGATTAAAATACCAGTCATTCCACTCGACATGTACTGCGGATATCTGTTCTGACATCTTTATGTAATTCTGCTCCGCTTTTAATCCAGTTTTGACAATTAACTGTGAATTGTTGTTGTTTTTCAGGAAAGTAAAACGCAGTGTTTGAAACTGGCATTTAAAGGTAAGCCCTTTCATTTGAGAGCACACATCTGAATCTAGTGTCTCTCGGTCTCTGATGTGATGATGTAAGAGTGTGTTAAAGTGTCTGGGACACTGTTTGATTATACAGACAGACTACAGATTTACCATCCTGCTCACAATAGCCAGTTCAGCATCAAATGCATGTATCATTTACATAAGCGTCACATTTATGAACGATACACGTGCTAAAATATACTGAATATAAGGAACAAATGCGATCTAAAAAGAAAGTGGCAATAATGTAAACTACACTGTATTCATTTCAACTCAATTCAACATTCAATTCAACACTGGTTGACGATCTGATTGGTTACAAGGTGGTTTGTGACGTCAGAAACACCAGCAGACTGTCTTTGGTTCACTGCAGTTTTAAGGAGGAAATACTCCTGTCCACTTATGAACTTACACATGGTGTGTGTTAAAGCGGATTAAAAACACCACACACACACATAAACAACATTAAAAGCTGGATTTCACCAAAATTGGGACTTTAAGTGATGTTAGTATACAGGACATTCTTAATAAACATTACTAAAGCAGGAAGAATGTAATTCAAACACTTTAATAACTTTTCATGTATCTAAATACAGTCAGTAACAAACCAAATATCAAGCATGCAAATGATCAGGGACAGTATGAGCACAACTTCACATTCAATCTGAGCTAAAGTGATGCTTATGTATGCATGTCATACACATCTAAGGGCTAATATATTTCATATGTATATATACACATATTAGTATATTATAAAAAACATTTGTGTGGAGTCGTTTATGATTAGAGTTTAATCACAAATGCCTATTGAACATTTGTTTTTATCGTACATATTTTCTTCAGCTACTGTTTGTGTGTATGGAGTGTGTAATGGCAGTACAGAAAGCACCTTCGGTCGTGTCTCGGCTGAGTTATTGCGCATTATTTCCTCCTCTGGCTCTTCATTAATTGTTTTTCAGCAGGAAATCGAATGATAAAAGTGTGCCTGAGGCTCCGAGCGCTCCCAGAACGGATTAGATATAGCCCACGTCATGTGTTGTTTAGCAACAAAAATACATTTTTGTTTTTAAGCATGGAATTTTATCTCCAAAATGGACGTAATCCAATTTCCATCGAATTGCTCCCAGTGTTTTTCCTCTCGGATCAGACTCATAAGAGCTGACAGAAACACAAGTGTCCTGGCAGGGGGCAAAACATGATGTCTGAACCAATACAGCGTGCATCTAAAAGCTCACCACGACGCCCATTAATCACCTTTTAACCCACGTGTCAGAGCTGACTGCGAGACCACCTTGCTGGCGAGGGCACGACGTCAACCGTTTCTAGAGTTATGGATCACGTGTTCCCACTGGAAATAAATGGGAACATCTAAATTAGCTGATATCAATATTATTTAACATCACAAAATCCGCCTAAACACACTGATTTATCAGCTCTTTAAGGGAATAATTCAAATGTACCGTTTTTTTACAGTGCAGACGGTTGTAAACTAGAGTCTAGTGTTGTCACGGTACCAAAATTTCAGTATTCGGTACCAATACCAGTAAAAATTCACGGTTCTCGGTACCAATTTCGGTACCAAAGCTTAGTTTAAATTTACATATATTTAAGTGTTTATCACGGTTACAAGTATGGAAACTGTACATTTGCATTATAAACACTTTAGAAAAAGATTAGATAAAATGACCTAAAATAAACAATAGTATGCACTAACACATTTTTAAAGTTGTTTGTAAAGTTTTAATCCATTAACATTTATTTAATGCACAATAAATAAAGTGAACAAACACGAACAACCAAGTGTTTCTATTAAATAACATTTGCAAACATATATATGTTGTAAAAATATATTGTTCACTCAATGTGTTGATATGAACTAAGTAATGTTGATGAATGGTATCTTATTGTAGCATTACCAAACTATACAGGAGATAAAACATGTTTTATTTGACTTGACTGTACTTTTATTTAATCTAAAACTGCATTCAAATTTAATTTTAAAAAGGCTTTTTAAACCTGCTGAATTATAAAGGCAAGAATACGCCTAGAACTGGCACTGACATTAAATGACATAAGTAGGGATGCGTCAAAAACTAATACCAGTACTCTGGTGTCGGGTGGATACTACTGTGCTCATGTACTCGTAAAACTACCCCGAAAGCACTTTAGAGGCCGTTCACATATCGCGCGTGTTTTTTAATTATATTTTTGCGCGTGCTTATTCTCTCAAAAGCGCTTGCTCTCACGCGGCGTCTGTCGTTGCTATGCAACGAGTTTTTATTATGAGCGCGCTTGCCTCGCGCCTATATTTGAAATTGCGAATTTGCATGTAATCGGCCTCTTATGGCAACGTGACATTAGCCTAATCCAAAATATTTCCATATGTGGCTCTTTCCTCCTTTCGTTTCAACAAGTGGATTCAGAGAGAGAGCGATATATCAGTGTTATGAAGAGGACGCAACTGTGCACCTTTCAGACAGCGCGTCTAGAACTGGATTAGGTACTCGGTACCTAGAAAAGCTGGTACCGTAACATTTTTTTTTTTTTAGTACCGACTTAGTACCGAAGTACCGAGTTTTTTGACAACACTACTAGAGGCTAACCCACAGCAACAATACATGAAAACAATGATCTAGTGGAAATCTATTAAATACATAGTATTATACCATGGTCTGGGTGAATACTCGATTCTGATTGGCTGCAGGGTGTCCGTTAAAAAGTGATAGAGGACACCTAGTAAAGTAGTTCTGGTGAAACTGCCTGTTTACCATTCGAAATGAATAAATAAATGCGCTGCCCACAACGGCTGTGAGTAACCATAGCAACAGGCAGTCACATGCTCTAGCTCTATCATCTAACGTTAGATATTATAGCCTAATACAACAATGAGCGACTTCGTGCTATTTCTTTTAACATTTATGGAGAATATGGCAACTTTGACGACTGGTATGCTGCTGAAGAAAGAAAAAATGTAAATAAAACGGAGAAAATTACACCGCTGCTGCTCTGCTCCATTGAACTCTATTGGTAACGACGTAACTTGCGACCATAGTTGGATAACGATGCTTTCGGGAAACGCACCCCTGAATGAGACCCTGCGGGAGTTTTACGCAGCTGTCCAGACAACCAAGGCAGGAGAAGGCTGAACGTTACAGCGTTTCAAGCCTAAAGAGCCTGAGGCAAATGACCCTCTCTTTGATCTGATTAATTTATTGCCCTCTATAACGTTAAGCGCAAATCGCTGGAGATCAGAGCTAATTGTTTTCTTATTGTTGTTTGATTAATTGTTTTATGTGTAATAAAAAAAAAACTATGCCTACATTTGTGTTTCATGAAAAAAAAATGCCTTTGTGAACCTGAAGGGATACGAGCTAAGCGGACTATATCTCCGGTTGCTAAATAAACAGTCAGGCAGGCAAGGCAAGTTATTATTTGTAAAAACTAGATTTAGCCTAATTAAAATATAAACTAATGTTTTATTTCGCAAGTGACCATGGTATAAGCGGGTTAATGCCCTCCGAGGTGTCCATTGTCAGGTTTTAATGGACTTCGGCGGAGGCAACCGTCCTCCGCTGCGCGTCGGCCGGTTTACGCCTCGCCGTCGTCCATTAAAACCTGACAATGGACACCTCGTCGGGCATTAACCCTTACTTAGTATTAGTATTGTTAGAACTGTGCATTAGGTCTGTCGCTTTTGTGACAAAATCCTGTTCGATTTTTTAACACTTATGCTACGTTCACACCGGACGCGAATAGCGCGTCAAATTCGCGTCTACCGCGTCTAATTTGACGCTTGACCACTTTGTGTTAATTCGCGCGTCAAGAGCGGGTAAAATAAAAAGTTTGAAGCGAAATGGGCTATATGCACGCTTAAGTTCCGCATTTGACGCAAGGATGCTCGTCCATTTCCGGTTGTGGAGATTTAAGCGGAGGAACACCGAGGAAAACGGGATTATGGCAGAGTCGTCAAAATTTACTGTCCTCCCGTCTTTGAAACGAAACGTACATACGTTTAGATGTAATTTTATATATAGTTATGTGTATTTAATATAATTTTAAAAAGAAGCATAAACACAACGAGGGGTGTCTGTTTTATCTGTTTTTGTAACGTTTCTTTATAGTAGTAAAACCATGGAGTATAAAATTCAATATAAATTCTCAGTATTGCATTGGACTCAACGATCGGCGGAAGTTATCGAGCATCCTTAATCCTTCACCGGAAATACCGACGTGCATAGAGCCCATTTACGCGCGTCAAAACCGAAACCTGTTGGCGGCCATCTTTTTTATGTTAATCGAGCATTCTTCGAGAGATTCACCGCTCTGTATTTACTCTGGAGAGCAGAACAGCGGCGTGGGGATCATCGTCGCCGTATTTGTGTCCTCCGGACCCTGTGGAGGCGAACCGTTTGGCGAGTTTCACCATTTGCTCGCTCCAGGAGCTGCGCTGGATGACGGCCGCTGTCAGCGCTACTTCCGCCTGTCCCGCGGCCAGTTTGATGACCTGTTGTCCCGCATCGGATCGAGGATCACCCTCGCCCGGCCCCTCATCCACCTAATCTGTCATTTATTTTTGTTTTGATGATAAATAGAGCCGGCCTTCAAAATTTATTAACCTGTCCTGTGATTTTTTTTCTCACTCACGTCCAGACACGAACTTATGCACATGTATGTTGGTTGTCTTTACATCATAATAATATTTCATATAATCTAGATATGGAATGAATAACATTCAATACAAAATGAACATGTCTCGTATATAGAAATCAAGTTTTAAGTGATAAAATATTTGCTTTGTTGTGCATAAGAACCACACCAGGCATTTAGTCATTTTACAAAATAATTTATTGAAGCATCCAGACACTTCACCACGTGAGCAAGCAGCTAGGCTCCTGATTGGTTAATGTGGCGCGAATTGACGCCAAAGTTCAGATTTTTCAACTCGGGCGGCAGACGCGAATTCGCCTCAAACGTGTGAATGCACAA